ATACCAAACTCTACTCGTGTGAGGTCACACGCACATCCTTCGCAGTCATTAGCCACAGCATAATCATTTGCAGCAATTATACAGAGAAAACGTTAGCTGGTTGCGAAACSGCTGAGCGAGTAGCAAGCAGTGAATGCCGGCAAGAACCAGTTCGAGCATGCCAAAACAAAGCTTACGTGTTGCGTATCCTCGTAGCTGGCAATTGGCGTGCTACATACATACATACATTCATAAGTATGTACAGTTCATTATTTCATTAGCCGATAATTAGTATGAAATGTGCTTATCACTGCTCATTGCTCACAGGTTTTTTTCAATATTTTTTTTGTATTTGGATTTTTTTTATTTCCTTTGTTCTAGTGTTATCAGCGCTTGGCGAGAGCATTCGTATGCAGCACACCAGCATCGTTTCAGCCATCAATACCGGAGTAGCTGGAAAAGAAGAGGCGTTTTTGCTTTGCCACTGTGTGTGTAGTAAAATTCTGCTAAGGCACCCAGTAGGAAATTAAAGCTAACTGTTGGAGAAATTTCTATGATATAACAAAAGTACTTTTTTTTAGAGCTAAGACAACAACCTGACATAMCAACCAGTACGAAGAAACCAAACCAAAAAACCAGAGCTGCTAATTTGTGGAAATTCGCAGTATGTCTCATCATAAAAGAAAAAATTTTTAAAAACATATTCTTGGAAATTTCTACAAAATATATACGGGTTTAAGACGAAATAGCTATTCCTGGTAATCCTCAGATTTRTTGTTTAACAGTTTAATGATCAATAAATGTCCTCATTCTGAAATTTTTGCTGTATTTCGCTCATTAGTATGAAATAGATGGAGAAACCTTTGGCTCTGGGGCTTATCGGGAATAGCCATTTCGTTTTAAAACCTTCGCTAGCGCTGTTTTCATTTGAATTTTTCAATTTTTCATTTTAGCAAAGATTTGGTATTCAAAAAAATTTAAAGATGAGAAATTGAGACAAAAATTCGATAGATAAGAATTAGTATAGTCAAGAAAGGTCATTTTGTTTTGATATTCACTTTTTGTTCCGTCGTACAGCTGTTTGGATGTATATAATTCACCACATCGCGAGAAATTTCCAAAAACAACAAAATATGAAAGATAGCGTTCGGAAACTGAAACTCCTCTATACAAATCCTGTCTTAATATAGTTTTGTAMRATATTTAAKGATGGRAGCTTAYGCTACAGCGATCCGATRTGWACAATTTCTTCGGAGATTRCACTCTTGTCTTAAACAATAACTCATACCAAAATTTCGTGAAGATATGTCGTCAAACGAAAAAGCGTTCAATACAAGGACTTTATTCCGATCTTTCAGTTCGTAAGACAGCTATATCCCAGTTGTTCGATATCAGCGTCTCCGTCAAATGAGCAGTTTCTTTGAAAGCCAAATATGTGTGGAAACTTTCRAAACGATATCTCAAAACCTAAGAGACTAGTTCACGTGTATTAAAAAGGGGGTCTCTCGTGGAAGGCTATTGATTARTTTTCATTGGGAGCGTCTTTTACGTARCGGGTTCCAAACCCAGCGCAMAAGCCTGAGTCGGGATGGTTCGCCTTCTCAYTTTGGCTCACCTTCARACGGATATGCTTTGGGTATCCAGAGGATACTTGGTCTAAGTACGTARGTCGTGAGCTGCTTGAGCCATATGTATAAGAATTGTTGCTGGCCACTCCCAAGTGAATGRAAATCAGAGGATTTTCCTTACATGACTCCATCCTCCATTAAAGAAGTTCGCGTATATCTAAATAGAGAGACGGGCGTRGCTAAATCAGCTCAGYTCGTCATGCYGATGATTTAGATATATATTTTATAGAGTTTCCGATGTGTTCTTCTGGGTGTTACAAGTGGTAAACTTAACACACCTTGTTTAGATACAAAAAATTTMCTCGTGATCCACTGACGTTTTTWMAAWTTTTKG